GTAAAATGACCTCTACAGATAGGGTTGGGATTTTGCAGCCTTGAGGGAACTTCCCTTAGGGTCTATCAAAAGACTCTGGAAGTCAATTGGTTTGGGATCATGCCTACAAAGCCCAAAGAATCCAAAGGAAAAAAAGGAGGACTATCCCACTCCTTCTTCACCTCCCCCCACATACTTCAGGATAAAGAACAGCCTGATCTTCCATACCTCCTTCTAAGAAGGCAGCTTCTGCTTTTCTCTCCCCAAAGGTGTATGCATACAGGATGCAAAAGAGGAGATAAGATAAAAGTTAGAGTAACTTTAGCTCCCACTCAAAATTCTGCTGTCATAGACTCCCCCACTTGCCCCTTTAAAGCCTATGACAGTTTCACATTTCCAAAGACAGGTTTGCTCAAATTTGGGAAAGATGGTGTCAATAGAAGGAAGTATGCCCCAGAAAGGTTATTCCTCTATGGTGCTGTTTCAGGACATTTTGGCTCCTATTTCCTGTCCAGTAAACCAGTGCTTCACAAACTATCTGATGTGGCACACCAGCAAATTTTTTCCAGTGGGCCAGGGACCGATGCCCAGTTCAGCCGGTGGCAGCAACTGTGTGTAACAGCGCTACACAAATGCCCGACCAGCTGTTTCTTTCTCTTTCCTCACCTCGCACAATGTGACGTCACCTGGAGCGTTGGAATGTATGAACTGTGGTGTTATGACATATCAATGTTATGCTTCTGAAAATATATTTCTTTCTTTCCTGGCAACTCGCTGTGGACCAGCGACCGGTCCACAGACTACCACTTTGAGAAGCACTGCTGTAAACGACTTAGCACTGCATATCACAGAGGGAGCATTTCTCCCCATTAAGAATAGATGCAGCAGAACCTATGATTAGTTATCTGTATAGCACCTAAAGGGTGCTAAATGCTTTAAGATGCAAAAAAAAAGGCATAACTTTGACATGAAATATTTACAATTTAAACTGACAATGTAAAAGAAGAATCAGACAGACAATGGGGAAATAAGGGAAGTGATACCTGTAAAGCATTTGGCAGCAGAAAGGACACAGCCAGAAACATTTCTGTATGATACTCTGTTTTCTATTCTCCAGAGATTTGGTCAGTCTAACTTAAGTCAGCAAGTAACATGGCTTTTGTCACTTCCCTTAAGAAGTTCTTCACAAGGTGATGGCTATGGCAGCTGGGCAGGTTTTTTTTTTTCCTTTTCCTGTAGTTCAGTAATAGCAGGCCAGCCTTAGGCACCTTAACACCATCTGCTACCAACCTCCCTTTCCCAGTTCCCAGATGTGTCAAGTACAACAAAGTCTTATGATCTAGTAGAAGATGTGAAATCCCATTTCAAATGCATTTTGGGGGAGGTTACTTCTACAGTCTAAATTTCCAGCTAAGACTTGGTTTACCTTCATAGATTTGTATTTCTTTTGTTTTTTAAATAGACATGTGGATAGAAGTTTAGTCTGGAACTCCACTGCTTCCCTGTTAAAGCACACATTTTCTCACTACTCTACTGTCCCTTCACTCACTGAGCCCATGTCAAGACACCGTCTTTCTGGAAAACTGGACTTTATGTGGAACCTCAGTAAGCCTGCTTCATATATTAAGCAGCAGCCAATCATCTTAATTGTTTCATCTTTCCAAATTTAGCACTTGT